TTCCCAGATTCTTACCCTAACCCTAATCTAACTTAGGCCGGTTTTAATCTGACGCAAGAATTGATCTGAGGCACGACTATGGGTAAATTTATAAATTTCCTTTAAAAATAAGGCCATATAAAATTAATTTTTTGGTTCTCATAACATAAAATTTTTAAAATGACCCGGCAACCCGGCTTTTAATTTTATTTTCAAAAAATTTTATATGTAAAAAACAAAATTTTTTTACAAAAATTTAAAAAAGTTCACCCGGATAATAAATATAGTAAAAAATTTTTTTCAAATTTTTGTTGAATTTGACCCGGCCGGGTTATGAGAACCAATTAATTAAGTTTGTATGGCCTAATACAAAGTTTGTATCAAAAAATTTCTTAACAAAATTTTTAATGTTCGCGATGATTCTTTAATTGGATTTTGCCAAAATTGCGGCAAAAAATTCGAAAAATTTCGACGGCAAGATTAAAAGACTACCATTATTAACACTTAAAAATCGTCCCTTAATTATCATTTTAAAAATGAAGTTTACTGCTATTTGATAATACATATTTTATGATTCGCTTAATCACAGCAGATTAACGTCTCTGAACTAGGGTTCTCGGCACGATAAAAAAATTTTTGCATGCCAGACGGCCTAAATTTCGCATGCCATAATCACATGATTTACTTGTTTAATTTAATTGGTTAAAAAAATTTTTTTCTAAATTTCAAAAAATATAAACTGCATCTTTATATATTATTATAATTAATTACATGCCTTTAGACTCAGAACAGAACTAGGCAGACCTTAAATAAAAAAGTATATATATAGTTTATAAGAAATACTGTATTTTATTATACAAAACCTTTTTAAGTAGTATTAACAAATTTTATAATTATAAAAATACTTAATTATTAAAATATTTTTTAATACTAAAATAACAATAATTAACGAAAGAAAAAACCTTTAATTCTTCGATAACATCGGCTTCATTAAACCCTTTCGGTCCAATTCTGCCATACCTCAAATCACTCATATCCTCATTTATCCTTTGATTTTAGCAAAATAATTAACTATTAATCACTGCAAGTTCAAATATTTGACTTTTTGATTAATGGTCATTATGTTTAATAAAAATACCTTTGAATATCCTGAAATAATTCATTACATTCCAACTCAGTAGCATTAATTTCATCTGTTATTTGGTTTTCTGCATTCGATAATATTTCAATTGCTTGATTCAATGTCAAAAGATCATTCGACTAATTAAAAATAGCGTAAGCTAAATCTGTAAATTCAATTATAAAATTCATTTTATTAGTTGTCATACCTCATCTAGCATATCGTCTTGACTCACATCAAGATCCATCTTGTCTTGAATTTTCCACAATTCAAATTTTTTACGTTCTAAAACATTTATCCGAACCAGCTCTCTTGTAGAACTTCTATTAGCCTTATATTCCCTATATAGGGTCTTAATATGTTTATTGCCTCTAATGTTATAAATAATATTATTAATAGTTTTTTATATGACGCGTCCTAAAAAAAGGAAAAATGCTCACCTATAAGACTTAGGAAACAAGTTTGTAAATTGTTTAAGAGTTATGTTACTTTCAAGCTCACTGTTAAGGAAATACGAAAGTAAAACCGATTCTTCGGTTGCCATTTATTAAACAAATTATAAAGTTAAGCAAGTAAGTATAAAAGTTGTAATTCGTTACGCGCACAGTATAAAAATGATGGTCCTTATCATTTCAGCCAATCACGATTCTGTACCTCGCGTGAGGTAAAACTAGCATACATTCAACAAATCATATGACTTCGCGCGGTTTTTCTTGCAATTTCGTGACCATTTAGCTACCGAATGTACAGAAGTTGATACGTAACATTAATTCTAAAACAGAATAAAGAAATAATATAAATTGCATCTCTTTTACGTACTGTAAGTTCATATAAGCATAGCTGATAGTATAATTAATAATTGTTACGTACAGTACGTACAAATCACATAACACAATTGGTTATCATTATAAATATTTATAG